TGTGTGTGTGTGTGTGTGTGTGTGTGTGTGTGTGTGTGTGTGTGTGTTTGCAGGCGCCCACCAGGCAGGTGATGCACTACTGGCTGCAGCAGCTGCAGCAGAAGCGCTGGGAGTACAGTAACAGCGGGCAGAGGGACAGCTGGAGCTCCCCCACGCTGGCCGGCCCCCCCACCGGCCTCGTAGGCAAAGATAACGGTATGCAGGTACACGCACAGACACACACAGCGGGCCTCTATGCTTTGGGCGCATGTTCCCAGTGTCACCATCTAAGCAAACCCCTCCACCTGATGGATAAACATTTACAAATGCACGGCAAACATCCAGCCAGAGTCGTTTTACTCCCGAGTTATCTTGTTCCCCTCATAAATCGGATGTTGAAAAGAGGTTGTGTTAGACAGATAAACAAAGAAGGAACACAAGATGGCAACGGCAAAAAAAAAAAAAAAGACAGATCACATCAACTTTCTTTGCGATTACCTTCAGAAAAAACACTATTTGGTTAGAGTGAAGTGTTTTTAAGCACCAGGGGCCACAGGGTCAAGATAAATCATAAAAACTCAAAAGCTGGTCTCCATGGAAGCCAACCACATCCAAAGAGACTTCATTAGGATAGACGAAAAAAAGCCTGCTTCCCTCTGTTAAAGGTTCATCTGGATAAAGAGGAAAGCTCCTGGTGTTTAAGCATGTGGTCAAATGAGAGGAAAATGAGGTCAGCTGGACACAGAGGGCGACGCTTTAGTTAAAGAAAGAGAGGAAAAGCATTCAAGTCCAGGAATACCACCTTCTTTGTCATGCAGAGAGGTGGGACTGGAGTTATTCAGACACAGTGGAACAAAAAAAAAGATGACGGAGATCCTTAAATATCCTCGTACAGTGAAAACAGGATTTACTGTAGAAGCAGCTGTGTTGGTTTTGGGGCAGCTACATTCATATCTGATAGTGTATTTATGCTGTATCGAAGTCCATCTGCAACATGTGCACAGCGTGGCTCCGGGGATAGGTTCAAGGAGCTACACTGTAACCTTTGCTGGATATTCTGTCACTTGTTTTTGCCTTAATGCGACAGATAGAGATAATGGTGGTTCAGTAGCTGTTTTTGTAAGTCTTCAGACGTGTTCAGCACACACTGAAACCAGCTTCACTGAAACACAGCTGTTGGGGCTTCCTTACAGTGAAGTGAGATTTCTGTTTGTGTTGTGTGCTTTAGCTGAGAGACCTGAACTGTGAATCCTGTTTCCTTTTTCTGTCACACACATGGCTGATGTGTTCTGTATTTCACCTCATGGCCTCGGCCCATATCTGCCTTCAAAAGGCAGAAATACCTGGGTTATCTCTGCCAATCAGCACCAGTATGGTGGTGTTTAGTCTAACTCTTTGTGCTTGAACAGTCAGACTCGCACAAGACAAGCCTTTTCAAGTCACTGCTCCCAGAAAAACTATGTTTGGATTTGGGATGAATGATTGTGGATTTGGATCCCACTGGCCCATCAGTAAATGAACCCTCTCCTGTTTTACTTCTCACGTGTACAGTTTCACTCTCTATAGGCTGAAGTGTGAAAATGACAGGAGCAGAGACGGCTGATGGGTGTTGTGTTCTTTTATGTGTGTTGTTGCTTGGTTCACAGGGCAGCTGGGGTGTGTGTGAGGGCGCTTTACAAGAAAAACCACAGATCTCACATGATGCGTTGCCTCTCTGACCTGTGAAGACATTTCACACACACTAATGAACCATTTCTTTGAGGTCTTTAGGTGGCTGCACAGCGGTGCACGCTGTAGCCGTTGGGCAGTGGAGTGGCTCTGTGTAGACACTGTATATTTATTTGTCACATCCTGAGTTTGCTCAGTCTTACCAAAGACCTTGACCTTTAGTAAGCCTGCTGTGGTGAAATGTGCGCGCTGTGAAAACAGCCACACTGTTGGTATCGTGTGCCTAACTGGAACTCTTCGCGTTGCTGTATTTTACATAGCTGTTTTACTATAAAAGGGTTAACGCGCTCGCTTTTTCTTGGCTGTGCGGCTCAGCGCTGTCTGTTGTTAGACTGAGAGGGCCTGCAGAGGAATACTGTTAACATCTTAATGCCATCTGCAAGTTTGGGCAAAAAACTTGAACTGCATAGGTTTCCCATCTTTGATGCTGGCTGAAATGTTCATTTTTCTGGCTTGTTTTGTTACTAAGAGGCAAATTACGTGCGTTCAGAGATGCTAATAGACAGTTTTAAAGCTCCCTGTGGACCAGAGACATCCACACTGCTGCGAATACAATGAAGCCAAACTGTGGCTTCACTCAGTACCGAGATTCATTCCATCGTGATGGCTTGAATTTGATTTAACATGAAACGCCTCATAGAGATGAGGCCTTGACAACAATTGTGCTGATGGGGGCTCAATTTTAATCATTGTTTATTTGAAAAAACGTTGTCATTTTTCAGATGCCTTCCTGATTGAAAAACCCTGTGAAAGCATGGAGAAGGTCCGGAGTGACTTCGCCATGGAGACCGAGTCTGATGCTGGAGGAATGGTGGGAGTCCATTCAGCCAAAGGACAGTCTGCTGGATCCACAAGCCCCCTCAATTTCTCACTGAGAAACTTTGGTACTGAGCTCAGGTAAAACCCTGGGAACGGAGAATGCTTTTCAGATCCGTGAAAACGTGGCTCTAACCCGCTGTGGTTTAACAAAGCAAAGTTACTTTTCAGGTTTTCGAGGCCCCGTCACACAGGCACATGTAGTTTTTCTGCACGATGACTGAACGGAGTCCCTCAGAAGACGGTGGAGGAAGTGGTTGAATCTGTAGTCCAGTAGTTGCTCTACTATGGAGCCATCAAGAAGTTCCCCATTGTATTACACCACTGCCACGTGGTCAAAGATTTTACACACTTACACGCTGGAAATGTTGCATCATGGTCTTCAGTTATTAGAAAGCAACATCTGCATCAATAGTAACATGGCTGCCCGCTTTGAGTCCGAGCTCATTTCGGATGGTCTGAGCTGATGTGAACAACTGTCAGTTTTTTATGGAAATATTTGATTCTCTTTAACCTGGGCTGTAACATCTGGCTTTTCATCAACAAATGGTCAGAATGTTTTTGTGTTGCTGCATAAAGAGCTCACAAATGCTGTCATGCACACGATGACTTTTCAGGAAAGAGCATACGTCTGTGTTAAACCACACGCTGCCCGACTCTGACGTTGAATAGACCAGATGTTGAGCCAGCTGTCCTGGTGTGGAAATTTTTTTTTGCTTAAGACATTAGTCACAGGAATAATGGAAGATTCCATCAAACTAACCTCATGAAGTGTGATCTGAATTTTGCAGATTGTTTTGGAATCTTCGCAAAATTAGCTGCGAACAGTTGAAGAGGGAAAATCTTTTGTCGGGTAAATTAGTTTTAAACCCGTGGCAAGCAGTCACTTTAGGCCCCAGCCCTTTTTTTTCCCCTCCACCAGTTGGTCTTGTTCTGATACACATATTACACAGCTTCCCACAACAGCAACACTGATTGTTCAGGCCGCTGTGCCGCATTCTGTTTCTCCATTGTGTAAGCTGTAATGACATTATCCTCAGCCTGTTGGGCTGCACAGCATCGGGTTTCTCGGTGGGGAATTTGAACGGGCGTCTCTCCTCTTTCAGGAACTCCATGTCTTATCTGCGGCAGGGCAGAGCCGGGGAGAACAGACGCAGTGTGTTTTACACCAACAGCAACAGCAGTTCAGAGGAGTGGGAGATGGTGGACGCTCCAGCCAAAGACTTTCCTGAACACAAACATCATCCAGAGGCTCACAGGCGTAAGTCCATTCTCTGCTGCCCTGCTCATCAACCCTGTGGCAACCCCTCCACCTCGTTCCACCTGAGGATTCTGAGCAGGTCTCTCTCCTTCCCTCAGATTCCTTCGGATCCTCGTTCACTTTTGATTTTGTGCGCAACTCCTCCCGTCCAAAGCGGCCCCTGCTGCGGGACATGATCGGAACGGGGAGGTTTGGACGCAGCGCTGAGGCGCGCGGCCCCGAGAGCGCAGCGCTGGAATGTAACGGCAGCAAAACTTTGGACCCGCAGCTCCGCTTTCAGAGCCAGCAGGAGGAGCTGAGCCAGATGCGGCTGGAACAAGTCAGACTCACAGAAGAGCTGGCCAGCCATAAGGTAGAGTCATTTCTCTTCATTGTTGCCATGCATGGAGGAGCCCATGAACACATGAGATCTGTTATTTAAAGTTTTCAACAGAAATCAATTGGTAAATCGAATCTTGCCAAACACTCCAAAACAACGCTGTCACTATCGGTTAAATCAGTAAAAGCTTCTGCTAATGCGCTCACTGATACAAAAACAGGGTTACTGATTAGTCATGCTTAACTCAGAAATGAGGAAATGGCAGTTAAGTGCTGTGGTGATCCGTCCCTCTCTGTTCTCTTTTTTCTTTATCTTTTTTTAGACAAGCTTATTGGCCACAATGGCCAACAGTGTTCCTTTAAAAAGGCAACTTTTTGGTTACTCAGTTTGAATCACTCCCACCTGACGCCCCGGGTTTGTATTTTTCTCACTTTGACACCAGGGCATGTCTGTGTGTGTGTTTTTAAAAAACAAAACAAAAATAAAAGATCAGCAACTTTGCCTTTAAATTGTTCCAACTGATATGAAATTGTTTTTTTAAACTGTTGAACATGTTTAGGTTCAAGTACTGACCTCTCCCTGGTGTCAAAAGAAACAAAAAATGTCATTAATATTAGATCTCAGTGGGTTAATCGTGACTGAGAATCACTTTTTAAATGCTTGTTAGAATGCACCAGAGAAAATAGGTTAACTCTCTGTTTGCGTATTGACCCCACGCTCACACTGAGAAATCTATATCACGATATTCATGTTGACCAATAATAAATAAAAGCTTTAATTCACTAAATGATTATAAGAAAGTTTCATTTTTAGTTACTAACTCTACTGTTTAAAAAAAGAAGCAAAATGACAAACATAAAAACTGTTCGATGGCGCGTGATCTGTTGTTACTCACTATCTTTATAAGTAGTGTGGTATTTCTGCATTTTCTGCCACTGCAGAAACTGCTTGTAAAAATCCACCTTCCCTTTTGAAAACCACAACACAAAGCACGCCTGTGAACATGTATGCAGTTGTTTTTCTCTCTTTGAGATAGATGTACATTTTTTCATAATTTTAGTGAATCAACATCTTCTGAGTCGAACATATCTAATTCACATTACAGAGCAAAGACTCATCGATTATGCAGAAAGAAGCATCTGGGAAAAATTAAATACTGCAAATACTCCATTTAGCGTCATCTTAACTACTATGTCCTCCTCATTTAGATTACAGGAACCAGTGAAGGGAAAACCTTTTTTAGTATCTGATTAAGAGTTTCGTTGTATTTGCTGCACATGTAAAAACTGTCAATTTAATTTTGAAATGACATGTTTTGGTCTCTGTAGCTAATTTAATTGTTCATAACACGCATGCAGGATGATTGAGGTTCAAGTCAGTCTCACACTTGCTTCTTGGTAGATGTTAATCATACCCATAGATCTGAGAAAATCTGCATTTTCTTGGAAATATTCAACTATGTTTATGACTTTAACCTTCGAACTCCAAGATGGTGTGCTGATAATGAATCCTCTTGGTCCTTCAGGAGCTGGTGAGACTTCTGCAGCAAACACTACGAACCTCGCAGTGCGACAGGCCCACGGTGTGCCGTCCGGCTCCGGACCCGGCCGCAGACCCAGACCAGAGCCAAAGGACGGCCCTCACCCAGGAAGAGGTCGGTCAGCTGGAGGCGCTGCTTCAGGAGAGAGACGGACAGATCCCGTCCCTGTGCGGCCACATGGAGCGCCTGTCCCTGGAAAAGGAGAGCCTGCAGCAGGAGCTGAAGGGCCTGAAGATCAAGGTGGGGGAAATGAACGACCGGCTGGGCATGCTGATGGAGACCATCCAGGCCAAGGATGAGGTCATCATGAAGCTGTCGCAGGACTCGGAACTCGGCGGGAATCCGGGGGATGGCGGTTCGCCCCCCCACAAAGAGCAGCAGGAGCTGGACATCCTCAAGGTAAAAAAACAAAACAAGCAGCCACTTAGGACAGCTTTTTCTAAGAAGTGTGACTGTAAAATTTCTTTCCATTGGAGTATTTAGTCTTAATGCTTAATCCCATCTGTTGTGCTTATATTCATTCACAGGACAGTCTTCAAGGTTACAAATCCCAGAACAAGTTTCTGAACAAAGAGATCCTGGAGCTGACCGTGCTGCGGCGCAATGCAGAGAGCAGAGAAAAGGCTCTAGAAGCAAAGGTACTGACTGCTGTTCAGGTGCTGCTGCTGAGTGATTCCACCGTCAGAAATGTGGTCTTGATGGCTGTAGGAAAAGTCCAGTGTTGACCTTATCTAACGATAGCTTCACAGCAGGACAGAAGGGAGGTGGTGATTGACTCTGACCCGCTCCTCTGGGCGTCTGTTGCAGTGCACGGCTCTGGAGGCCAAGTTGTGTCAGGTGGAGAGCAAGTATTTGGTGCTGCTTCAGGAGGTGAAGACCCCGGTGTGCTCGTCCTCGGAGCAGAACCCGGCCCGCGAGGTCATCTCCAGGCTGCTGGAGGACGCGCTTCAGGCCGAAAGCCCGGACCAGCACGAGCAGCAGATCTTCAAACCAAACACAGTCAGGTGAGCTGGTCAGAAATGATCAAGTTTAATTAGACTGAAGCAGATTTTAAATGGATCTTTCATTTAAAAAAAAAGGAAAGAAAGAAAATGACTGCACAAAGAATGAGCTCTGATAATTAAATGATCTGAAGCCTACGTTGTAGGATGTTTGATATTTTTGTAGTTCCACAGCAAGCGAAAGAAGAAGTCTGTTTATGAGCTGCTGATGTTGACGGATCTAAATTCAGTTCGGTTGCTTGTCCTGTTCTACTTTGATTAACTGCTGCCGGTTTCATTGACTGGAAAAACTTGGTCTTCTACTTATTCTCTGTCGCTGTTTGCTTTGTCCCTTGTGCAAGCTCGGGCTCGTCTTATGCAGCCCAGATCGGCGATGCCGTTAAATGTGGCTGCCCTCTGGGCTTTAGGCGGGCGTTTGGATAAACCGAGCACCGCTGATAGCCTCGTGGTGTTCTCTCCCTCAGTGAGTACGACGTGTTCGGTTTTAAGACGGTGCCTGAGGAGGAGGAAGAGGAGGAGAGGCTGATCGCGAAGGTTCGGGCCCTGGAGCTGCGCTCCCTGTCCATGACCGACCAGGAGGTGTCCATCGGAGTCAAGTGGGAGAACTTTCTGACCAGCACGATGAACAGAGAGCTGGTGCGCTCGCCAGAGCTGAAGGCTCTGATTCGCTGCGGTGTCCCCCACAAGCACCGCTCCCAGGTCTGGCGCTGGTGCGTCTCCTTCCACGTCAAGAAGTTCCGGGACCACCTGGCGCCAGACTATTACGAGACCCTGCTGAACGTGGCCCGGGGGAAGCCCAACCCGGCGTCCAAGCAGATCGAGCTGGACCTGCTGCGGACCTTGCCCAACAACAAGCACTACGCCTCCCCGAGTGCGGCCGGCATCCAGAAACTCAGGAATGTCCTGCTGGCTTTCTCCTGGAGGAATCCAGATATCGGCTACTGTCAGGGGCTCAACAGGTACCAGGGGAACTCTAGCTTCTCATGGTCTCTGTCAAAAAGCTTTTTGCCTTTTCACCCTGACTTGTTATTCAATATGCTTCCTTCAGGCTCGCTGCAATTGCCTTGCTCTATTTAGACCAAGAGGATGCCTTTTGGACCCTCATAGCCATAGTGGAGGTCTTCATGCCAAGAGACTATTACACCAAGACCCTGCTTGGTTCTCAGGTAAATGTTCTCTGTTTCTCTGGTGGGAACATTGCAGTAATGGGCAGGAAGGGGTTCAGGAGGCGTAGAATGACCCTCCGTATGCCTTGGCTGTGTTCCTGCAGGTGGACCAGCGCGTGTTTAAGGATCTGATGAGTGAGAAGCTGCCACGCCTTCACGCCCACTTTGAGCAGCACAAGGTGGATTTCTCCCTCATCACCTTCAACTGGTTTCTGGTGGTGTTTGTGGACAGCGTGGTGAGCGACATCCTCTTTAAGATCTGGGATGCCTTTCTGTTCGAAGGACCAAAGGTAAGAAGCCCACTTCGCAGGACTGTCCTGTGTTTCTGCTTTCTGATGATTATTCATGGAGATGCTGAGCTGAGCAAAATTTTTTATATGGAGGAGGAATCATTCCCAATCAGTTTATTTGTTGGTATTGAATTTGCGAAGGGAAAATATTCCCTGTTTGACTTGTCATGTGATTCCTGTGTCACTGTGACCGGTGACTCTGTTCCTTCTCTGCAGGCATGTTTACTAAAAGCACATCTGCTTTTTGGTTTTGCTCTAAGTTCAGTTTTTGTCACAAACCAAAGCTCAGCGTTGGTCACACCGGTTCTGTGTCTTTAAATATGGAGCCGGGTTTGTGCCTCTGAGGCTCAGATCTGGGCGCTGTTTTTTCGGAGCAGTCACATGGCTGATTTCACAGCTACGATCGTTTCTTCTCCGCAGATTATATTCCGATTTGCTCTCGGCCTCTTCAAGTACAAAGAAGAGGATTTTCTGAAGCTGCAGGACTCCACAACCATCTTTAAATATCTTAGATGCTTCACTCACACGATCCTGGATTCCAGGTAGAGTGCCTGCATTATGGATTTGTGCTCGAGTGTCCCCATCATTAGGGGGATAAACATTCTGAAAGCTGGTCGTTTTGAAATTATCCCTAATTATTTGCACTATACGGCAGTGTAAGTGTGCTTAATGCCGCAAAAAGGTGTTTTGTTTAGTCTTTTTGTGTGCATGTTACAGATGCGCTGTGTCGTCCTATTCTGGGAGTTTAACACTTTGTGATGTTTTGATGGTTGATATCTTAGCTCTTGACACCTTCTTTTTTTATAGTGTTAGTGTTAGCGTTTGTATTTACCACTGTGGTGTTACATGGACCTTAAAACCTTAAAAAAATCTTCACAGAAACAAACAAACAAACAAAAATTCATGCAATATGTCGTTTTTGTCATCCAGGAAGCTGATGAGCATCGCTTTTGTTGACATGAACCCGTTTCCCATGAGGCAAATCCAGAACCGCCGTTCCTTTCATTTGGAAAAAGTCCGGCTGGAGCTGACGGAGCTGGAGGCCATCCGACAGACCTTCCTCAGGGAGAGGGACACGAGTCAGGAGAGAGGGAGCTTCGTCAGTGATGATGATGAGGACAACTGACGTCAAATCTGTTTCCCTGAATGGCTCGCTCAAGAAGGAAGACAAACAAAGCATTTCATTGATGTTTTGAAGTGGTTGAGGGTGTTGTTGGCTTCATTTCGTCTTCAGAGTTGGTCTCTGCATCAGAGCTGGAACAATGAGCCTTGTCACGTGATATCAAAGGACCAAAAAATATCAGTATTCCTGCCACTTTTTTACAAATATATGTTTTTTTTCTCTTTTCTTGCTGTATGCTTTTGTGTTTATATAATTGACAACAGTGAGCTTCTCTTTACAATCCAAATCAGTATTTTCACACGGCTGTGACTTTTTTATGGTTGTTGATTTTTAAGCACTGTATGTCTGAATTATTTTCCTTCTGGAGCCCTTCCTCCCTCCAATAATTTCTTCCGATCAACATCAAATACATTTCGGTCACTGATGCTGAAATCAAAACTTTGTTTCATCATCTTGCCTTAAAAAAACTTCCATCATTGAGGTAATTTTAAAGTGTTGCAAAAATTGTGAGAACCACTGTTGTCTTTTTGTTTTTAAAATTTTGTATCCATTGTTACGTTATCAAATCATTTAAAACAACTTTGATTGTTTACATGTCCCCAAAGACTCTTTGGAAGTGCAAGTGTTTCGCTCTTACATTGGTATTCGGCTTTCTGTAACAGCCAATGACTCGGGAGTAATTCGTATAGTTATTCCAGTCAAAGCCACCCACTATTGGATCCCTTCAGACCACCTGACCCACGGACAGCTCTGATGGGTCTCTCTGTGTTTCGGTGCGCTTGAACCTCCCTGAGCTGTATCGATTAACTCAGTTCTTGCTGAATGCTCAGAGAAGTAGTGCATTCCTGAATGCTGCATTTGTTTTTCTGAAAATGCTGGTGTAATTTCATGGATTGTCCTCACAGGGGCAGTGTGCCATTTGTGGAGTGTTTACTCAGCTCACGGGTACCCTGCACACAGTGGAGCTGTAGCTTTTTGGAAATGGATGTGAAGTCAGTGAGTCGACGTGTTTGTTGAAAGGGAAGCATATCACTCAATCATTGGGCACGTGGAAAATGCTCTGCATTACCTGTAGTTTTATAGTCTTAAGCCCTGACTCCTTACTCTGAACCAAAGTGTTCAAGTTGATGCAGCTTAACATCTGTTGCGAGCCTCTTGCTCAGGATGAGAGAGAAAATCTCTCACAGTTTTCTTTGATTGTTTAATTTCCTCATGCTGATGGGTTTACAGAGATCCTTTCCCTGTCAATGCCAAACTTTAACCACTTCTGTGAATTGAATTTAAACTGAAGCGCAGTGGTAGGAATTTCATTTGTATCCATTCATGGGAGCAGGCCTCTCTTGAAAATGTCCAACCCCCTATATTCTCTTTCTCATTTGACCGCCCTTGATGTTAAAATGGTCAAGCAGTAGGCTTCAGTGTTTACTCCATGCACAGCTTTTCCCGCACAAGTTCTTTGTTTGCATTTATGTTTTCCTCTTTTTCACGTTCAGTTACGATGTTCATGACAAATAAGCTACATTTACCTTTCCGGCCCGTTTCTCTTTTCCTCTTTCCTTTCTCTTTTTCCTGCAGTGTATTGCACAAGTTTGGTGACAAGATGAACTCAGAATATTATTGGGCACTTCACTTTTTTTCTATGTTTATCAGTCTTATTATGTTCATTATTATTCAGTTTAGTGATGACAAGTCCATAGCTTGTACGTTAAAGATTTAAGCATAAACCACTCTGTTTTTTGTAAAAAAATTGAATTTTAAGATTCAATAAACATTGGCTGACTGAATCTGCTGTATCTCTTTTGTAGGTAAAAAGAGCACACACACAAACACACACACATATATGGTCAGTTCCTTAAAAGCATGCTCAGAATATGGCCTGCCTCACTGGCCCATGCTGCACTTTCATAATGCAGCCATCAGAGAGGGGGGAGGGACTTGTGCAGACACAAAAGCCTGATGGTTCCTCCGGGTTGATGACAGAACAACAGAGACGCCAGAGCGCACTTATCTGAGTCAGCCATGAGAAGACCACACCAGCTGTAGGAGACCCGGGACCCTGGGCCAGTTTATCATCCCCTCTCTGACACGGTAAGAGCTAAGGCTTTGCAGTCAGCAGCTGCTGGAGCCTCTCGTGTGAAACTTAAGAAATGCTGAAAGGAAGTTTGTGGCATTTCAACTTGTGGTTATTTTTTTCTTTTTATATTTTTCCACTGTGCTGTTCTTCACCGCTTAAGCTTTAAAGTTGTATCCAGATTACATAATATTTACAAAGCCTGTGCTGATGCCAGTTTCAGCCTTTTCTAACAGAGAAAAACATTTCACAACAGAGGCGCCCTGCCCTACTTAACTAGAAATGCTCTTTTCTTTTCTACTGTAATCCTGCAATAAGCACAAGAGCCCTGTTATACGGCCCGGCTTGACACAGTTGCGGGAGTTGATCATTAGTGAGACGGGTTAAAGATTTGAGCAGCTTTCTCAACAGCCAGGTGAAAGTAGGTGCAGCTCACTGATGGATTGCAATTCAACAAGCTGGAACATGTGGTAAAAATTTTCAAACCTTCAGTCAGGAACCAACGGGGGCACCTCTTTGTGTCATCAGGGTTGGCGCCGAGGAGAGGACAACACACTGGAGAGACAAATCAGCAGGCTTCAGTGGCTCATGTCAAAGGGACAGCTACATCAATGAGGACACCAGGCATGGCGGTATTCAAGCAGCAAAATGTGGATGAGTTCTATGAATTTGGAGTGGAGCTGGGAAGGTAAGGAATTCTCAAACTTTTGTTTTCTTTTGACAAAGTATGCACAGAGGAAGATGGTCAATACAGGCCTGAAAGTAGTTTGAAGTTTACTGAAACCGATGACCCCTCAAAAGCAAACACATGCTTTAGAAAATATGTTCGTATTTGGGAAAATATTTGCCAATCTTGGGGTGAAATTTCCACACGTTTTCCTGCTTTTTCACGCTGAGTCACGGACCTGTGCCTTCAGGTTGAGTGAAGCCAATCAAGTCTGCACAGAACAGACATCAAGGAAACTGTCTCCTGCGGAAATACATTTCAGGAAGTTGAAAGAGAACACTACGGACTGAGGAAGCTTAGCACCCATTTTACACTGGACGGCCTTAATATTTGCAACAACAGATAGCTAACGTGCAAAAGGAAAACATCTGGCCTTTCACACTGTCACTATTAATCAAAGTACACAAAGTATTCACCAATGGCATCTTGAGTATGTTTTTACCAAATGCTCTGGTTTCTCTGATAAGGAAGATTTCTCCACAGAATCTTTATCTTTTATGAAGATTCCACATTTAATGTTTATTCCCTATAAAGCTATCTGTGAAGACTTCTCTGAATAATTATTGCTGGTAATAACTACAACTAATGTTTAATTAGTAACTAATGAAAGAGGTACGCATCATTTGTAGATAACTATCTTTCATATGGGAGAAAAACTAACATTTAGGCTTAAAAGAAGGCTGCTCATCCAATGCAATCAATAGTTTATACAAAAAACTAATTTCAAAACTCTGACAGTAACATTAATACTGCTCATCAACAGTTGATTATATCACTTTTTCGTTATAGATGCAGATATGCATGTTCAGAAAAATCGTTTATTTGTTGATTCAAATTTTCTTCCTCCAAAAGCTTAATAAAAGCTTTCATAAAAAGCTATTTAAAACAACACACTGTTTAATTACTTCAATCAGCAGGCTTTGAACAATTGTCTCTTTTGTTGGAGCTTGAGAAGTTTCACAACTCTTCAGTGGCTCCACTGTGAGTGTATGAAAGCTTTTGGTTGTGGCGAAAAGCCACAGATGTTCAGTCACCATATCATCACAGCTGTACGTTCTGCTCGCAGGAGTGTTGATTTGTTGCGACAGCTTTCTGATGAGCCAGAGAGAGCATTTCTCACTCTGCCCACACTTATCTGTTCAGAGAGCTCCACAGCTCAGAGGCGGAGAAATTTGATCAAAGGGGGCAGAAATGGATATGTGTTGCATGTTTAAGCTGTTCTGTGCTCCGCGGAAGTGTTGAGCTGTGTCTTTGGGGGAAGTCGATTCATCATCCTGCCCTCCTGTTGGCAGGTTTTGATGTTACAGGACCACCTACTGATGCACGCAGTGGTTCTTTCCACCACTGACACATAGTCTGGGGGGGAAACCTAGCTGTGAAGTTATCCATAGCTTGAGTTGTAGGCTTTAATTGACAGATGTAAAGCTCCTGCTGGTCGAGTGACGACACTTCTGACGAAGTAGAGGAGGAAATGTCACAGATCAAACTGGTGGCTGCCAGCTCTTGCGTGAGACCTTCCAGAGTGCGGTCCGTTGTCATGTAATTCTTCCCCTTTCTTTGGTCGCAGCACCAGTTTGCCTTTCAAACAGTTAATAAAACAACATCATGTTTCCAAGCCACTGTCAGGCAAAAAGGGCGTGACGGAACAGAAACAAATGACGTTCATTCCCTCCTCATTTTGAAATCGGAATGTTTGTCATTGTGGCTCTAACAGTGTCTTTACTGCCTGACAGTTTTCACTTGTTCACTTGTTTGTCTGCAGAATGGGGGCATTTCTCTATACACGTTGCATCACGTGTCTCTTTTATCAAGCCCCACATACTCAACAAGACTGAAACATTCATCTGTTATTATAAGTTATTATAACGATGTAAACATAAAAGACACAAAATGTTGATAAAAAAATAAGCTAACCCTACCCCAACAAAATTTTCATTGACTCTACCTAAGTGTCAGGAATTTAAAATCAGCTCCAAATTTAAATCAACTTAAATAATTATCCAGCTGCCTATATGTAAAAAAGCATTTGTTTCATTGTACCAGTTTCTGAGTAAATAACGTCCTGGAACAGCGAAGGACTGATTTTTCCTTTCTTTTGATTGTAAAATTGAGAATGAAACATTAGCATGTTCCAACTGACCTAAGATATTAAACCTAACACCTGCTGGCAAATTAGATTTGTCATTGTGAAACACTTCTAAGCCTGCTGATAGTAAGCCAAAACCACGAGCGTCACTAAGTAGTTTTGCAAATTTGTCAGCTTGTCTCTTGTTATGTATTCAAATCAAGGCAGAAGCCTTTGAAAGGTCACAATTCAGTGCAGCTTGTGTGCAGATCGTCTCTGTAATTGGTATCTACTGGCTCTGATCTCTTTGTAGTAGTAGTAGACAAAGTCACGCAGAAGGAAACTGAATAAAGGAAACAGAAGTCCGGAGAGATGCAAAGAGGGCAGCAATGTGCATTTTAAGCTGCAGCACTCTGGGGCCAAATGTGCAAAAGAGAAAAGAGCTGAATGTTGACAGGTGCTGCTAATGAACTAAAGTCTTCGAATTCCCTCAAGGAGATTTACTGTGCACAGTGTATCTATAGCAGAGACAGGAGGTGTGCATATAAGCAGGAGGAAAAGAATGTGTGTACTCAGTTTTGAGAGTTCCTGCTGTTGAGCAAGTAAAAAGTGATGGAGGGGATGTCCGCGTTGACCTTTTCGAGCATTCCTAAAGTTCCTGTTTGACAGCGGCCAACCCATGACTGTCAGTAGGCAACGCTGCCTCAGATATGGCGGCAGACAAATTGTGTGGTGTCATGTTTTCGAGCACAACAGATGTTTTATCTCCCGCCCTGATCATTCATACCGTCGAAGTCTCTCCCCTGCCGGACCTCGCCTCGTAGGAGCAGAGTGAGGAGATGTTTGGGGTTGGGGCGAGGGTCGGTTTTGAATCTGGCTGTCTTTGTCACAGTGCCCCAGAGATTTCTGAGTCAAGAAACGCGTTTAAAAACTGGGTCGGCGCCATTTGTCCGAGCATTCCACCAGACCTTGGTTGTGGATAATGACCTACAGCTGTTGGAAGTGGAAACTCCGTAGAGATCCGGTACTTTCAACCCCACCGGGAAAGCTTAAGGACTAAGACGGGCGGCACGCCTGGCCCGTTGTGGAATACCACTCCCAGCATCACTCCTCTCTTCTCTGTTACTCTACACTGTGTTACAACACCACAGTAAAGCTTACACACTTTCTCCTTGCCTTGAGCACTTTCTCACATTTGGACAACTATTATCCAAAGCCGTTATTAAGTATTGCTCAACCGGGAGAATCGAGTGCAATGTCGCTACTCCTGCCATGTGACAGATCCTCCTCTTCCCTTAAGGGTCAACGACGCCTGTGTTTGTGTGTGGAACTTCCAGCGTGATGCTCCCTCCTCCTCAGCCCACACATTTTCACAATCATATCTATCATGACCAGCCTTTTGGGAAAATCAAGAAATTGACCGCACACAGGGAGGATTTGAGATTCTGTTCTGCTTTATCTCCAACTTGTCTTTGTTTTTCTTTCTTTCCATATGGCACGTCTCTGTAAAAGCAAGCTAAAATGAACAGCTCCGTACTCACTCTGCACTCCTTTCATGCTCTCCCCCAGAACATGTTCACACAGGAGTTACATTACCATAATAGGTACCTGGGGCTTTAGGGTTTTATAGACATCTTTTTTGAAAGCTCTTCTGAGGCAACCAATTGTGAAGTCCAAATGCCTTTTCTTTTAATGGGGCACACAGGTCATTGTGGGAGGTAGAGTCGCCAACATCTGCCTAGTCCTAGCACAGCGTTTTACATGTCTCCTATTTGAAGATGGTGAGGTTATGGTTATGGTTTCTAGTATTGCTATTATATAGTGGATTAAAAAAATTCCAGCCCTGCTGATGAGTGGTTTCTTATTACAATATAGCAGTTCATTAAGTTCTATGGCCATTCATTTGTGGACAGCTCTCTTATGGTCCCATTGAGGTCTGAGCTTTTACTGGGTCAACGCCACACCTTAGTTCTTTTCTGTTTCAGGCATGTTGTTGCAGATTTGTCACCACGGTTGGGATCATTGTTCAGTTTCAGGGGGTAAAAAGGTTTTAGCCAAGCCTTTTGCTGCCAAATAAATGGCCTAATGTTAGACTCTTGACTATTTGTTATTCAGGGGACTATACTCCACAACTGCAAGGGGTCCAGTAGAGGTTTGTCAGATGCAACATAAGATGCTCTGTCACATTGTTTTCCTTTTTTAGAGATGTTTACACCTGATGATGTACAGTTAATCAAATGCATTTGGAAACAACTGACCTTTATTTGTAAATCAATTATTTAAAACACCTTTCTGTATTGTGCATACAATTCTGTTGAGTTGATGCTGAACTAAGGAAGTGATCATATTTTGTCAATCTGGGGTTGTATTTAGCTGATTTTAAGACACGGTAAAGAACCAGAATTGTTGTTCTTTTCATCTTTTGCTAGGAAATATTGTAGAGTTCTTTCTTTTTCAGATGAGGTCATGCTGTTGTTATACTAAGTAAGCTAGGGATAGGGTGTGTCTTTAAAAGAACAAACTGGCTCAACTATCCCCCACTAATGTGGTCAAAGAAAGACCAAACTGTCAAGAGTGGTTTGAAACCAGAGAGGTGATCACTGTGTATTGTATATCTATTTGTTTAGTGATGTGTTGGCATTATATCTATTATTATTAGGACTCTCTCAAAGTTTAAGCTGTAGTAGCCACTCCTAACCACCACCCCTTCTAACCAGACAACCCTTTCATTCCCTCCTAAAGTGTACAGAAGTGGTATGTCAAGAAAACCCCCCCAAAGTGCAGCTATATTTAGCCCACTAGACACAAGCTGGACATCCTCTCGTGCCAGACTGGAAAGTGTGGAGATAGTCCTTTCCACAATGTATGAAATGCCTGCCAATACTATGCTTTTCAATATCTGTGCGGCAGAGAAAACTTGATATCAATACCATATTCAGTAAAGGAATCAGGGAGGTTCGCAGTGTCTCTGTGTGGTCAGTTCTCTTAATTTTTTAAAAACAAATTAGACTCTAATTTCTCCCATCAACCATAAGCCTTGCATTCAGGCTCTGGTAACTGGCCTTGTATTTTTCCCATACTTCATCAGTTGACTGGTCTCCAGCTTTGAATTTACTGGGACAAAGTTGAGACACACAAATGTCTTAATGATGTGTCACAGTTGATGGTGTATATCAAACAGAGAAGATAGTTTTGCCAGCATTGAATATGAGCCACAGCACTGCAGGCTGTGACAAACCTCAGAAACTAAATCAGATGTCCTACATCTGTGGACCAGCACTGCTGTGGGTTCAAAGAAAACTATGTCGCCAGCAAGTCAACAGTCACCATTAACATCAAGAGTTACGTTTTAGAAACAGAGAAAACCTTATTCATCAATTGTAAATTCACTGAAGATACATTACATCAGTGATTGTGAGTAAGATTATTTCCAAAAATGCAAAGGATATTATCCTGATGTGAGGGCTTATAATAACCAAAGCACGGGATCAATTTTCAATTTAAATGCAGTGGATCTGTAACATACATATTTCTGCTTGGCCTGGTAATGGAGGGTAATTGCCCTGGAAGGTTGTTTTTCCAGTCTGTGAAGAGTGGGCAGGTCAGCCCACAGCAGGAAACCAGTAAAGCAGCAGGCGTGGCAGAGGGCTTAGTTTAAAGGTTGATAATACAAGTGCTTCCCCGATAACAGATATACAGACACTTCCCACATGTAGTCAGCTGGGTTTCTTCTCAAACTCATTATTCGTTCTGTCAGGTGAAATATTATAAACTGAATTAAGGTTTCTAAGGTGAGAGTGACAACAAAGGCAGATGTCTAACTGCGTAAAGCAGAGCGTTAGTATATACTCATTCATGTGAGGGACAGAAGAAATAACAGTCAGCAAAACAAGAGCACAATGGTCCAGTTATAGTCATTCTGAAAGCCACACCCATGAACAGAAATATTCAGAGTTTTTGGGATTCTTTCAGTGGACTGAACCTTTGAGGATGGGTAGAAATTTGGCAGGAAGTTAGAAGGAGTGGGAGGACAGAGACTCCCTCCACACTACGGCCTGTGTGATTGTTCTGTGTTCAGCCGGGAAACAGGAAGTGATGGACTATAGCTCAATATTTCAGACATTCTTGACACATGGCTTCCTCTGTGATGTGTATCTGTCTGCTCATATCCTGTTATTACAGAAAGGTACCTGTTCTGCGATTATTATTGAAAAGAATATACTTTAAAAGAATAAAAAAATTGACAGTGGGCATTAATGTTAGCTTTTCTTTTTCTTTTGTGTGTGCAGTGGGCAGTTTGCGGTTGTCAAGCGTTGTAAAGAGAAGAGCACAGGTGTGGAATATGCAGCCAAATTCATCAAGAAGAGGCAGAGTCGGGCCAGCAGACGGGGCGTGAGAAGAGAAGAGATTGAGAGGGAAGTGGACATCCTGCAGCAGATCCAGCATCCCAACATTGTAGCGCTGCACGACGTGTATGAGAACCGCACAGACGTGGTTCTTATCCTTGAACTGTGAGTAGCTGCACGATAGTGTAAAGTAAAACGATTAGAAGCCACAAGTTTGCTTCATTGTTTAGCAACTCTTTGTTAAAGCTCTGCTCACTCAACCCCCCCCAGCGAGGGATCCTGTGTCATTTTGGACCATATGTCTCTCACAATGTAAATAATGCTTATGCCTCAGAGGGGCCCTATGTAGGTCAACTGAGGTCCTGGGAAAAATGGAAAGTCTAATTAGGACAAATGAAACTCTCTCCAATTAAAGTTATGGGTAACTGACGGGCAGAAACAAGCTGAGTAAAAACTGCAAGATGACTGTAATTTGTTCAGCCTGAAAATCATAAATAATACTCATCTATATAATGGAAGCCATATTACAGGTTTGTTTGGGTTTATGAATAGTACCCTTGATTTTTAAAGGAGTACAAAGATTATATACAAAACAGAGATAAGCTGTTACCAAAAACATAAATATCTAAGGCATGCACAACAGAGTAATTTCTTCAGATAATGTTGTAAACAGGCCTTGACCCACGTTATCTAAGTCCTCAGTGACTGAATGTGTACGCATGTGTATGTTTGCAGGGTCTCTGGAGGAGAGCTGTTCGATTTCTTGGCTCAGAAAGAGTCTCTCAGTGAGGAGGAGGCCACTGAGTTTATCAAACAGATCCTCGACGGGGTCCAGTACCTCCACTCCAAGAGTATTGCACATTTTGATCTGAAGGTACAAAAGACTCTGTGTGATTTTGGAGTGAAACGTGTGCAGCAGGTGTCTGGTTCTTGTGCTCCTAGACTTTCTCTGTTCCGATTCACGTGTCCTTCCTGTTTTTTGTGGCAAACATCCAGACTCAGATGCAACACCACAAGGTTATCTCTTCTCTGTCAGAGCGGTGTCGCCCACGCTGCTCTCTGAAAGTGTCTGTCCTGTTTTTCTGCAGCTCCCCCTCGCTCCAAATGGGTTTTGTCTGGCAATTAGTGAAAAAGAACACAGAGCAAAGGGCTCGGTTTAGACCTGCTTCAGGCAATGACCTTCTCTGTACAATGACAGATCTGTGCACTTAAAAGTGCTGTGAAATCTGGAGATGGTTAGAGAAATTGTTACATTTATCATCTGTAAGTGCAGCTGTTGTGTGGCATGTGACTATATTAGGATTTGTTCTAGATGAAGAAAAAAAAAACTTTTTAGGGCAGAAAGCAGTTTGTATGAAATACATTCCGTTTTGTCCTTTTTTTTTGTTTTTTATGAGCCATATTTAAAAAAGGTTGGGTATCTAGTATCAAACTAAAAGGCAAAATATATGGTATAACTTGACTTGATACTAATGTGCAATGAGATATCCTTTGCACTGCGTTCCAGTCACTGTTAGGAGCGCTCACATGAGGACAAATTAAATTAAAAAATCTTTACATTCAGTTGTACACTAACAAAGATAATTGTTTTTCTTTAATGCATACACTAAAGGCCTCTTATTCCAGGTAACAGGATTTTAATAGCAGTTTGTGTATTTCCCTCTCTTGATAATTATAGAAATCTGATGACAATTCTGTTTTGTTTGTGTTTCGCATCTGCAGCCTGAAAACATAATGCTGCTGGACAGGAACGTTCCTCTACCCCGCATTAAAATCATAGACTTCGGACTAGCACACAAAATCGAAGCTGGGGCAGATTTTAAAAACATTTTCGGCACGCCTGAATTTGTTGGTAAGTTCTTTTCTGACATTCTAATGGGCCGCTTTGGCCCCAGGATGCTTGTGATGTTTGTCAAGTGTGCACGGTCTATTTTCAGCTCCAGAGATAGTCAACTATGAGCCACTAGGATTGGAGGCAGACATGTGGTAAGAGCCTTTAACTGTCTCTGACACTGCTGACTTCCACGCAACAGCTTTCAGGGCATAACTTCAGATTAACCTTCTCCTGTTTTTTGCAGGAGCATCGGAGTCATCACTTACATCCTGTAAGTCTGGGGTGTTTGCGATTGTGGGTGGGCATGTGATATATCCAAGAGGGGTTCTGGCCGGAGTGTGAATGTTTTCTGATGTCGTTCCAGTTTGAGCGGCGCGTCTCCTTTCCTGGGCGACACAAAGCAGGAAACACTGGGAAATATCTCAGCAATGAACTATGAGTTCGATGAGGAGTTTTTCAGCAACACCAGCGAGCTGGCCAAGAGTTTCATCAGACAGCTTCTGGAGAAGGACACGAGGTAAAAGAAAGGAAAAAAGGTGGAAAGTGAAAGGTCAAACCTGACAGTTCTGCACGCCGCCCAGAAATGTTTTATAATATTCAAGTATCCCAGTATAGAATCAGCACGCAATTGAATTCAAGGATTAATGTTTGATTGTTTTTGGTATTTCACCCCATGAAATAAGATAAGAAAACAGATCTCACACAATAAACTAATAATTGGAAATCAACCATTTCTCGTCGTTATTTGTACACATGTGAACCATTAAATCCTCACATGTGTTTCCATTTAAAAACACATCCAGGAAACTTGGTATTCCTGTGAGTGTTAGGTCTGAATGAATTCCTCAGAGATTCACATTCTTGTGTGTGACAGATCAAGACACTTTGTGTCCGGGTTTATCAGGTGTATTTACTCAGCTGCACTCTCTTATCGTTGTAGAAAACGAATGACTATACAAGATGCCCTGAACCACCCCTGGATAAAGGTATGCACTTGCTTAATGCTGTTTTGTTGCATGCTTTGCATAATCCTCATCATGCCCTATTAAAAGGAAAGAACATTTGCCAGTTCACGCTTAAAATGTAACAGGATAATTTCCATAAAGCTTCTCTTTAAAAGTGCAAAGAAATTTGACCACAGTCTCCAAATCCCAGAGTTCACACCCGTTAGCTGAATATGTTTTTTGACAGCTCTCCCACTGGGGATATTTTTTCCACCTCTCACATCCTGGACCCAATCCATCTAATACATCCCGGGGCAACCTGTCAAAGTCTTTGTGTTTTAATCTGATGGTACTAAAGCAAAATCCTACTAATTGAATAGTCGACGGCATGGAAATGTAACAATGTGCGATGTGATGGACGAGCAGCTCAAACAAGCGTCTGAAATGCATGTCGTAGGTGTTGTTTTCCGCGGAGCCTCATCCTGTTTGGATCCAAGCATGAAGCCAGGAAACATTACGCAGTCATCGAGAATGTTTGTTGTGTATTTGGCGCCCTCACCAGCCACGGCTTTTGTCTCAAAAGGGTCGCGCACTAATCCCTTCATTGGCACATCTGCTGGGATTTTCACAGCTGTGTGTGTTTTCAAGATGCAACAATGAGCCAACCTCTCACTCAGTGTCCCCCCCCCTCCACCCTTCTGTCCGAAGTCCTGCGGCCACACGGGCGAGGACGTGGCTGCGTCCGAGCTCGACAAGAAAACGGAGCAGCGGATGACCAAACGTCTGAAGGAGTACACCGTCCAGTTGCACTCCAGCATGCTCCAGAACAAGACATACGCGAACTTTGAGCGTTTCGCCAATGTGGTGGAGGGCATCGGCTTGATGGAGGCCGGCCTGTCGGAGGTTGCAGGTGACCACCACGCCCTGCAGTGTGACATAGAAGCTCTGCTGACCGTCTACAATCACAAGGAGGCCCGCTACCACGAGGAACGGGAGGCCGTGATGAAGCAGCTCTCTCAGGCCGCCTACGAGTTCCGGAGAATGGAGGCCACCAGGAGACGGCTGCGGGAGGACATTAAGGTGGTGGACGCCGGTCTGGAGAACATCAGCGGGAAGTACGAGCACCGGCAGAGCCAGCTGGACGCTCTGCGGCTGGAGCTGAGCTCGGAGCTGCAGTGGCTGCGGGGAGTGCTCGGGTCACAACTGGCCGAGGGAGCCGGTAGCGGCGGTCCGAGTTCAAGCATAACGCGAGCTCTGATGGATGTGCTGCAGCCATCCTGCGGAGCTGAACTTTGTCCTGAGGCCCAGCTGCCCCTCACAGAGTCCAGATAACAGACACCACCTAACAAACACGTTCATTTCTTTACAGCAACCACTAAAATGATCTGACTGCCTGGTTGTGTAGCCTTGTGTTATGGTCATGATATCAATATTACTTTTTGCACAATATTTTAATAAAAAAATATGTTTTTTTATTGTTATATTTAATTTATATAAATTAATGACGTTTATTTATTTTGACAAAAGAGGCAAAGAACAGTATACTGTGATACTTGTAAACATATTCAATAGTGTGTTTTTTGTAAAGGCTCATGTATGGGTTTTATAAGCCATTTCATTGATAGTAAATTTGTGTTTTATTTTTGGATACTTGCAATGAATACTCGGCATTTGGTTTTGGAAGGTAAAAAAATGGATGGAGGCATGATTTTAGAGGCTGATTCGGGGACTCCAGACAAAGACAGTCTCAGAATAAGCAGAAATACAAAATGGAATATATGGAAACAATCATACATCTACATCTTCTCATTCTCTTTATGAAATGGAACTTTTTTATTGTTTTTTTTTTTCATTCCATTTGATGTTAATGTTTGCTTGTTTGTTTCATTTTATTTATTTGTATGTTAACTTTTATAGATTTCTGAAAAGCGATGTGCAGCCCACAGAAAATATATTTTGTAATAGGGTACAAATGAGCACTTTTATCTTGTATTGAACCTTTCAAGATTTCTTTATTAGAAAAGTCTGTATTTATTCCATCATTTCTTTCTTGGAAATGCCCTTAAAGCAGTAAATCCATCACTCGTTACTGGTTCTTTTTTCACACTTTTAACCTTTATCACCCGTGAAATAAATTTCATACTGCATTAAACATCCAATGTTTTTTTCTGGTATCTATTAGATGTATACTGAAGCCAGTTAGAACAAAATGCATGAACTGATAGAGGATTTGATATTTAAATGAATATTCTTTTTATGTGTCCACAGCCTCTGAATTCCAGACAGGCCATGGTAAAGAGACTGTCGGTGGTCAACTTGGAGAATTTCAGGAGACAGTATGCCAGACGACGGTGGAAGGTAAATAGTGTGATCAGCATAACGTCCTCAGAATTTAGTCACAGCAGTTTATAATAAAATGAAAAAGTTGATTGATAAACATTTCTATATTTATTTATTTTTTACAGCTGTCATTCAGAATTGTTGCTCTTTGCAACCATTTAACAAGGATCATGAAAAAAGGCCAGAAGCCACCTGAGGAGGATGGGGTAGGCACACATTGTTTTACAGCTCGTAGGAATGGGCCATCAGAGGTAGTTGTTTGGGAAATTTGTGTTAGGACTTTTTCTATAAAAGTTATAGTTGTTGCTGCTCTCATACAAAAAATAAAAAACCTACACAGCTTGCAGCTGATAGCACGTGTCTCAGTTACAGTATGAGAACATGAAGTGGTAATAGGGCCAATTTTGTATGCTCATTAATCTACAATTTTGCCTGAAACAAAACAATAAGAAGTAGAAAACATTTCTGAAAGGATTGGTTGTTCCATTTGACTTGAAATATATTTCCTCGTCCCTTGTAGAGAGATTGTGAAAGTGACCAAGAGGAGGACGTTCTGAGGAGAAGGCCGAGGACCAGAAAGAGAAGCAGCACTTCCTGAGATCAGTTTGAAACTGTTGCTCCACCTGGTAATGTTGTTGTTTTTCTATGAAGACAGCTCATCCTTTGCGCGTCACCGCTGCATCCTGCCACTTCTAAATCCAGGCCTCTGTTTTCTGACTGTGAAAAGCATAACAAAACATGTTATTTACAGGAACTCAACCTATATGTTCACAAATGCCAAGAATGTAGATTACTTCCCCTAAAAACTGCAGTCTTAAAAGCTCCTCAGCTCTTGTGTGACAGCCCAGAGTCATACACAGTCTTTTTTCTTTTCTTTTCTTAACTTAAAGATTCACAACAGTGTTTTTTTCCAAGTACAAGCATTGTAAATTAAATGGGTTCAGCACTGTAGGAGGACAAATGTTAGCAAGTGTTGGCAACCAGACGTTTACATGTTGTTCTGCTTAACAAACATGATGCCTCTGCAAACAAAGTGTTAAATGTTCATCTTTCTTGTCTGTTACCTTAAGTCTGTACACTATGCTGATTTAAAAGTTTACCGAAGTGCTAGAAAGGATTTTTCATCAAATGACCCTTATGCAAGAACCGGCTTTTATCTCACATGTACATAAAGACACTGTATAGCTCTTTATAAATATACATATATGTGTATGTATATATGTGCGTGTGTTTGAAACTAATTCAGCAGTTTCAGGCTGAAACTGTGATGAATTAATGGTTTAATAAAAATACTGTAGAAATACGGTCAGACAGATGTCTTAATTTCTGCTCTACTTTCTCGTGGCTCAAAAGCTGTTTACTGTTTTAAACAAAAAATGTTTTATTTTTCTGTACAGTTGTATGAACTGTAAATTCATGAAAATGGTTGTTATTGTATTAGTGATAATAAAGTGAAAAAAAATCTCTGATTAATACTTGAACGTTTGTGTCCCAGTATGAGAACACGTTCCTACATTGTTGACCTGATCACATTGTGTATTTTTAAATCTGCACAGCAAAGCTGCCAGCTTCCTCTGAATTATTCTTAGCATTCACATAACTTTTGCGGTTAGACAAGTATTCCTGTTAAAGTGGACAGACCAGTGGCTCTTGACGACTAATTATTCCAGTACATCGGTGAGCTCTACTTGTGATTCTCTGTCCCGACTACCGGTTTGTCTCACAGCCGATGTGTATTCTCCCAACGATAATGCTGTATGAGCTCAGTTGGGCTGAAAGTGATTGGATAATGTGCCCTGAACTAAATACATGCTGGCAGTTGCACCATGTAGGCCAGTTAACACAGATGGTGAGAAAGGAGTCATAATCAACAAGTGGGTCAGTCTGAACTCTGCTGCTTGTCTGTGCTTCAGGATTCGAATGGAGACCCTTTAAGGTTATCTCATAGTGAAAATAGAAAATAATCAATACAACTCTCAGTTTTTTGTGCATTTTGTCCTTTGCAGTTATATTTGTCAGAATGTATGGCAGAGCTATTAGGATTGTTATACCTGCAGGATAGCTGGGTCATCTCTATGGGAATTAATCTAAATACTTTTTGGTGTAAAAATCATACCCTTTTGTTTATCTATGTGCCATAAATGCACCACTAAGATTTGTGAGAATGCATGCCACTAAAACATGGGTTGAAGATTTATTTATTTAAAAAAAAAACATTTAGAAGGAACTTCTCTGCTCTTTATTAAGTGGAATCAAGTTGAGTCTGTTTGAAAATGTGAATTAAAGTCCTCCCATGAGCACCAGGACAGTTTTGAAAGATTTGCTGTAGAATAATTTCAGACCGTCTCTGCAGCTGCTGTTTAAAAATGCACTCCACATGCAGATATTCTGCTTTTTTCTCACATGCACAAAAACAATTTTTTACCACAGACCGTGTTTACGGCACATCGATATGCAGATAAAGAACTCTAGCCGTGTCAACAAATGTATTTACGGTGGTTTTGATGCCACATATAAGTTGACTTATCGACAATATCTGCAAACGGAGAGCCCCACGTTATCAACACACACACTCTAGCTGTCAACCCTTTGGTGCATTCAAAGCTTCAGTTACATATTAATTACCGTAATACTATTTTCAGAGATATTATATTGTTCTTGTGAGATTAATAAGGTACTACATATACTTTCTGTGTTAACTACTCTCAGTACTTTGTAATGACAGCCTGTGAGTTACTGGCATAGGATGAGATAAAAGAAACATTTAGAGCACGCTTGGCTCATTTATCTCTATCTAGTCCGAAGGGCCAGACTGGTGAATGTAAATATTTCAGCCATGTCTCACTGATATGTGATCTGACTCCTTTGTAGCTTTGTCATTGGTAGAGAGTGAACTGAAAGGCCTTCCAGACACCCTTTTCCAGTCAGGTCCTGAGCATCTCGTGTAACAGGAGTCCCAGCTGGTGTGGTGGGATCAGTTCGATGGGATCACTGGATTCCGGCAGACTTATGTTGGGATGACTGGACGCATGGCTCATTCACACGGACAAATAAGGTTTGCTGTCAGAAACTGTGTGATGATTATATGTAACCAAACACCGTGCCCCACAAGATGCCTTTATATCTGTGCTTGAATCAACGATGTGTCACAACTCAAAATGTAATGTGGTGAGTAAGTCATGCATACCGACTCAAAGAAAGAGAAGCAACTCAAATGAACCCCAGTTCAGGCTCAGCATTGATGATGCAATACTCTATAGGATGTCTGACACAAGCACAGTAGTTTTCCAAACGTGAACTATTCCACTTTAAAAACAAACAGCTCTCCCTCTAATCTGTTTGACCCATTCTGCTCAATACTCAGCAGGTTCATATGAGCATTGGCCAAAATTTCCAAAAGTGAGTGACAATTCTCACATTCCAATAACAAAATAATATACAATTGTGCCATCTAGTGGACAAAATTAAAATATTTATATATACCAGAATATTTGGTGACCCCAAATGATAAGTGTATGTGTACATAGGATATCTATCATATGAAATTAATTTACATGGTGAGATTCTCCAAAAAACATCCTTAGGTGTCCTGTTAATTTTGTATGAATTCTGTTTCCTTTTTGTGTAGTTTCAGTGGTGCATGTCGAATGTTGTTGCTCAGTAAGTCGTGACAAATTCAACATATGCTGACTCCAGTGATTCATGCTGCCTCATATTTTCTTTGATGCATCTGTTGCTGTGCACTTAGAGTGGCCTGAAGATCCAACAGCAGAGGCTGTGCATCTCTGGAGATAGACCTGAGGACATTAATCATGCATACACGCCTCTCACTTTATCTGTGTGATCATCAGACCTCACTTTAGTCTGATGATAACTCTCTGGAAATGAGCTCCTGGAGGCTGCTTCCATTATTCATACCTACAAGAGCACAGCCTGCACCCTATTCTTGGAAATGAGACTTGGATTATGATTAGGAAGAAGAGAGTGGAGGGGTGGGGGGCATCTCTGCCTTTGATATGGTACTGAGTGACATTTCTATGTCAATGATCTCATTCCCCTCTGTGTTTCACCCACTGCCATGTACATTACTCGTGACTACATAATTAGACCAAGGGAGCAGACAAACGCTGCTTATTAGGAAACTGAAGATGACTCCTCTTTACCATGAGAGCAACACTGTGTATTTGACAGAGAGAGATATAGTTTTTACGTTACTTACTATCAAAGAAGACGTGAACACATCCTCTATTAATAAGCTGCTAGTGGTTTTAAGTCATTTCAAGATTCCTTTGTTAGGGAATAATTGAGTTGGGTGATTGTTTAAGGGCTTTGGGTCGAACAAGAATACTATAATAATAATCCCACAGGTATAATTACATTGTTTAGATATCCCCCATGCAGACATAAATATTAAGAAAAAATTCCAGAGGAACTGATTTAAGATGATTTATGTATATGTTTTTCATCTGTCATCAGTATTAATCGAGCTGCAAGATTAAAACAGATCTTTTTTTAAAAGAAGACCGAAAGAACCATTTGGTCTCCTCTGCAACAACTCAACACGTAGAACTGATTATAGCTTGTAATGTGTGGACGGCTGTGATGTCAGATCTTGATGAAGCCTTGCACACAGCATGAGTCACTAAGGAACTGCTGGTTCACATCCTGACAGACTGCAGACAAGTATGCATGGACAAGGGGGCTTGCTTTAAGAATCAAGTTGAATCTACGAGACGCAGCCAAATCAGAAGACAGAATGAAATACTTTGTTGAAATTATTGATTCTAAGCATAAATAAATCTCAGATTAATTACCTCTTTTATGAGCCTTGTCATTGTTGCTATGGGCCTTCAACAGTCCTTGGAATCTGCTCATGTTTGACATAGCTTTTATGTTGTGAAAATCCTTTTTCCTCAGTCCTGTTTGTTTCCTGTGCACCCACCACTCATCGTGTGGCATTTGCCGTTTGAAAAAAGACAGAGAACCTGGTTTCTAAAGAGTAAAACCCACACAGGAAGGCGGAGGTGCTCTTTGAAGATGGCTCCTTCTCCTAAAAGGGCCGTAGATAACCTATTGGAGAAGGCAAAATCAATCACACTATACTGAACTTCAGATGGCCCTCCTGCCTGAATCAGTGAGATGCACTTTGTGGTCTTTTGGTTTAGGAGACCAGAATATTCCCCTCTATTTTAAGAAAAAAAACTTAAGTAGCCTCCCTTTGAAGCATTGACTATTCCCATAGTGATTCACACAAAGACTGACAAGTCCTTTAAGGTGTTTCAAACCAGGTGTTGATTGGCAAATGAAAAACCCTCGGGGAAAGCAGCTACTGTATGGATTTCTGTGGCTGTGTCATAATTTGTATAACCTGCTGCTCTGATAACTGAAGGAGGGATATTTTCGGTTCACAGGTCTCTTAATTAAAGGTGCCTGGTTCTCTGACAGATGAGACCATTGGAGACTGCAGAGTTCAAATGAATCACTTGTGACTCATAATACCATAATGAGTCCATTCCTAGCTTTATAGGGATGGAATTAAAATGTGTGACAATGCCATGAATAGTTGCAGAATGTTCTGATTAGGTTGATCTGTCTCTTTCTTCCTGCATTTCTAACAGCCAGGAAATTATAGAGGAAAGATTTTTTTCTTTCTTGTATTCTTATATTTCGACCCTTATATTCACTCAGTCCGTTGCAGGACATAATCTCTTCGTCTGAGATGACTGTGTGGTTCTGGTTGCCTTTTGAAAAAATAACGTTAAAAATGTGACTCACTGTGAGAAACTTAAAAAAATGATCCATTAAACTTAACTTCAACTTAATTGGCTGAGGAAGGCCTTTAAAGAGAATCCACTGGAAATGCTGCTCTTCTCTTTGTTCGTCCAAAGTACCAATTAGACTATCTTTTATAGGATGTAGCACCGAGCAATAAACTTCTGACTTAGATATCTAATTGGGTTGTTAGTTTGGGGAGTAAATTCACACACACATATCTGCTACATTCTGTGGTACAGAACATATAAATAACTGCAGCAGAAGCATGAAGCATCACCCTATTAGCTGTGATTTCAGCAAACCCTCCTGTCATTTCACACTCCAAAAAGCCCAATAATTGGTGAAAGAGACGCTGGAGAAAATGAGGCCCCATTTATGATTCCCTCTGCTCTTTTGCACCTGTAACTATGGACCTATGCTTTTCTTTTTATAGCCCTTTCCTTTGCCTTTGAATGCCAAAAAGGGCTCTCATCTACCCAATAATGATTAGTCTTTGTAGTTTTTCCCACATACGGTAACCTGGACTAAACAGACTCCCACATCAATCAGTTGTCTGAAGCACAACCTCTATTTTGCCTTTAGATGGAAAGCAATAAGATGTCTTGTTCGGGTCAATAATAAAAAATGATTGTGTCAATTGTGTACAAATGGATAAAAAAACCCATAAATGATTATGGGGGTAACTCGTTTTTGCATTATCTTGATTTGGTCCTACCAATTGTGTTGGTTTAATGAAAAACTATTCATCCCTTATGTTGTGGTCCCTCATGAGCCGACAATTTGGGGATAATGTGCAAGAATAAGACGTTATGATCTGCGTTTCTCTGCGTTTGTCTTTTTTAAAATCACTTCAGTATCCTCTTTCTGTAATTTATTGCCTGGGCAGTTTCTCAGCATGTCACGTGCTCTCGTTTTGCGGCCTTATTGTTCGAACCGTTTGTGTGGAGCTTTACGAGAAAGGTGCCCTTTTTTGTTGACGCAGCTCTTCCTATCATTCAAAACAACTTCCGCCATTCAAGGCAATCGGTGCCAGCTGCCGTTAGACATGGATGTCGTCAGGTCCTCTGTGCACGTGAATCCAGAGCATGAGATCTGCCCCTGGATATGGACAGCATTGTTGAAACAATGCAGTTTGGGTTATTGGCTCAGTACGTGACTGTATTGACTTGTGACTGTAATACAGACATTAAAAACATCAAATCTACAAATAGCTAAATGTTTCTTTTGACTCAAACTGAGGTGAGTAGATCGAGCTCAAACAAAGGAAAACCCTTGCTCAGCAGGTTTTGGAGATGTGTCTTTTCTCCGAGAGAAAGGAAAGGATCAGCTCAGGACTTGTAGACTGTCACCTACAGATGGCACCAGTCAGCTTTCAGTTTGACATCATAACTTGTCTCTTTTTTAATTGCCTGGCAGGATTAGTTTATTTATTGCCAGTGTAGTTTTCTCAGAGGTCAGACTCAAGAGTACAGGAAGCAGATAACATCTTACTGCAGACAGAATTTAATACGCTTATTGAACTGCTTAGAAAACAGCTTTCTGTAATAGCTTGCTTCTCACTTTAATTCAGAAATTACCTAAAAACCGTTAAAAATCTTATATTTGACAAATGAAAAGAAATTCTGCCCGGTTAAGGTTGTGGACAGTAGCTATTTTCTTCCTGGCCTGAGGTGCTTGAAGCTCATAAAGTGCATTTAATAAGTTAATGTGTTACAGTTTTCAGGAACGTGTACTTTCCTTGAGTGATATATATTATGCTCCATTGTCGTGCCACTACTCCATGAGGAAACACTACACGTCCTTCTTCATTCATTTGGCAGCTTAAGTTATTCATAATTTCTTAGACTCTTACTAACTCCTGTGGGTGGTGACTGTTATCTCTCATTTACTCAGATTGTTTGATCTCAAATAATATCTAGGTAATGCAGCATCTCACCAAGAGATGTAGACAGATAGTGAAAAAAGAACATCAGTGAACAGAACTTTTCCTTGTTTTCCTCCACATTAAGTTCCTCGTGTCACATAACTGTAAGTAAAACCGGATGAATGTATTTCTCCACTCTTATGCTTCCGTATTAATCCAATTATGCCATAATCAATGTGACCAAATAAGCCCTTTTACTAGAAATCACTGACTAGGGCATTTCATTCAAATGAAGCATTTCTGCATTGCTACATTGGCATAAAGGATGTCAGTACTTTTCCCCTCTGCCGGGCCACCTACAGGCATGTGCGAGCAGGCAGAGGGTAACCACTTCTGAGAAATGTGAAGTGATACTGAGCTGGTACATTTGATTGTTCTCCTGTAAAGGCAGAGCTTTCACCTTGCACAGCAGAACCGAGGTACTGAAAATGACATCCTGTCTCGGAATCAATAAATCTTTTTATTCCCTCAGGATATAAGCTCCCCTCGAGTGTTCCCCGTCGAGTCGCTCGGTAATTGGTCCAGCTGCGATATAAATCAGACAGCTCCCTTTGTTTGAAACACCTCGATGCACAAAGTGTTGGTTTTAGATCATGGGTGAAAGAAAAGCACTATTTCACAGATTCTCTTCGCCGACACCAGATCTCACATGTCTCACAATTTAAAACGGACTTTTCCAGATCAAGGTGGATGACTGAATGAATGACATTCGTACAATTATCTGGGCGGAAACGCTGATCCACTTCCCAATGTGATGACAGTTTACAATAGAACAAGCCCAAGCAGTTTTGCATCAAACAAATATAACCACATTTATTTTGAATGTATAAAATTTCACACTATAAAGGCCACTTTTCAGGGTAAATTAACAACCTTTCAGTAAGATTTACACAGACAAATACCTTGTCCCTCTCTGCTGGTCTAACACACCGTCCAGTTCTGTGGCAAAACAAAATAGTAATTGTTCTACTCCACCACAGAATGTAGTTGGCAAAACTGAATAATTTACTCGATACAGGAAAAATGGCAGGAGAGTGAAAATTCCTGATTTTACATCCCACAGAGGAGCAGGTACTCCAAAGGATTCTCTCTTTTCATTAAACCAGCTTCCAGGCACAGCTTGACATTACAGGCACTGTTTGCCTTCTACTGGGAGACTCAGAAAACAAATCTGCAGTTGACATTCTTTACAATGGCACCAGTCAGGCCCACGAGAGCGTCCCCATGGAGAGAGCATCCTCTGTTTGTACTGTCCACCTCGCCGTCGGAGGCTGTTTGGCTCATTGCAGATCTGGTGAGGGGGTCCAGACTTTGAGCCTAGTGTTCACATTCCTACTCACTAACCATGACGTGGTGCTCACTGAGGTAGAACAGTTGTACCAAAAGACTTATCAATAAAGAATCGAAATTAGTAACAGTCACATCAATAAACTTAAGAATGGAGTCATGGGGTGGGAGGGGGGGCGGGGGAGGGGGGCGGGAACGACGTTACACTTTTTCAGCACAATAACATTTAGGGCACTGACGTGTCTAAGAGTATCTGAAAATTCCCTCCTGTGAGCTCCAACCTCCCCTGCAGTTCTCACCCTTTTAGGCTAATGGCAGTTTCACAGATGTTTGTCATTCCACCCACCAGCCAGTTGAACAGTCGGCTTATCTGGACACGTGAAATCTATCCTTCAAACTCTCACACACGCGATTCAAAGAGTGCAAATAGAAAAAACAAAACAAAACAACAAAAAAAAACCGAGACAAACAAAGGACGACAGAGAGGAACAGAAGCAGACACTTGAAATGTCAGAGAGGGCGCGTGGCCAAACAGAGGGTACAACATATTCGTCCACACTTTGTTCCGCATTGGAGAGGAATCTGCGACGTCCCTTTTGAAGGCTCCCGGCTCTCCTGAAGGCTGGAATGAGCGGAGCGAGCTGGCCGGCTCCCGGCAGGGTCTGCACCGCGCCCCGCTGACCGGTGGACGCCCGATCCCCGTTTTGTTTGTTTTTTTTGGACTAGGACCAGCTGCTGCCCGTCAGACCTCCGGCCCCGCCGCGCGTGATGATGCTGTCCGTTGATTTTAGGAGCCTCTCCAGGCAGGGCGCGTTGATTTTGCCCGGCGGGGGCCCTCTGGGCGCAGAGTCTGTGTGAGGGCGGCCGTCTGTGCTGGAGGACACGGCGCTGTCCTGCGTGAGGTCTGTGTCTCTGGGGGCCGGCGGGGGCCTGGGACCGGCCGGGGCCTGCTCGGCCGTGGGGGAGCAGATGGGCGACGTGTGGAGCCACTTCAGGTGGTCGGCGGAGTACGCTCCGGCGGGGGTCAGGTCCGTGACCCTCAGGGCCTTGGCGCCGGCCGGAGGCTCGCCGGCGGCCGAGGGGCTGGACGCTGCCGTGGTGGTCACCGGAGAGAACTGTGGACAGAGATGGAGACTCAGCTCAGTTCGGGGTGGCTTAGAAAGTCGACAGCTCCAGTAAATACCCGAGCCCGCTCGGTTTGCCGTTTCCGCCCTCCACTGTCAGTTTTTAAAGCATCCCGAGACAAAATGCCACGGTGTGTCAAGACCTCTGACCACAGACTTCAAGATGAATCACAGACTGCGTAAAAGGTTGAACTTTGCCCCTCTGACGAATGCCGTTTGTTGTAACATAAAGTTCAATAACCCTGACGTGTGCTGAGAGATGGGAGAAAAACAATCTCAGGATCCTAATGATTCCCATTCATGAAACAACCAGAACAAAGCTTCTGATCGACAGCAGCATTTTTCACTGGCCTTCATAATCTTATCTGCTACATTCTGCCCTCCTGACGGGTCAACTGCAGCTCCATATTCAAATAGGAGTATGGCGTCTTCATTCATAGGCTAGCAGTACATATTGTTCATGGAAAAAACCCTTTTTCTAAAATTTAGGTTGTTTTTCTTGATCTATACTTCTGGGTTGTTCCCTTATCAAAATTCCACCTCCTTGTCATCAGTGGGAATGGTGAAACATTTGTTTACCGTGGAATGTACAATTATTCCTGCATGGAAAGTGAATCAGGCGCATAACAGGCCTGTTCATGTCGCTGCGTTCACACCTGCACGAGGGCATAAGCGTTTCCATTTTTCAATTCAGTGTTTCTGATCGTGGTATTTCTAATCATGAAACAGCTGTAGCTTATTTGCTTTAAACAGTTTGCTTATTTGAAGAATTTTCCTGAAGCACAGTAGAGTTGTCGCTATGCGTGAACAACACAGATTGTGTTGATGCGGGTTTTCTCCTGTACTATTGTGGACATTTTTGGGGAGCTCAATATTCAATGTCATGTCACCAGTTTAAACTCCGGCTGGCACATTTTCACCTCTCAACAAAAACAAGAACTTTGCTAAAGATAAACGCAAAACCAAACACTACAAAGTGTCCACACACAATGTGTGCGAAGAAATACAGAAAAAAACATCTATATCAGTGCCTAGTGAATAGATAAATCGTTTCTTTCTGAATAAACACATGGAAACATCAGTGCTATTAGGTTGTTGTTTCATCTTTAACATTCACTTACAGATTTGGGACATTTCTTACTAAATAAATCCCATTACTGCAAAGCCTCCTGCTAGCTTTCCCTGCTGTTTGGAATCTGACCAAATCATTTACAGCAAGGTCATTTTTGCTGATTTTATGATTACCTGGAGCAAAACAGCTGAGAGAAGCTACAATGTTCTTGTCCCTATCATCAACAACAAATTTCAGTTCATTTTTATTATCAGAATTATTCCTTTAAAACAAATTCACTTTGTTAAATGAGTAAATTTGATTATTGAGATTATTCATGGTGACTTAAACACAAATAGAACATGCTGCCCTGTTCACGTGAGGCTGTGTCAGGATAAGCCTCTGAAATAAATCCTCACCAATTTAATGTACAGGAATGTTCCAAAGTATTCTGACCCTTCTTATCTCAGGAGGGACACTGCACCAAAATTACCTTTTCTCCTCTGTCATTGTTCTTAGCAAACCTGAGACTGCAGTAATACCTCAGTAAAAATAGCTTTTAATCCTTCTTTCCTTGTCCCAGGCCTGTGATTAAATAATAATGGGTATTTTAGACGCTCTTTCATTGCGTCGTCACCCGTATGGCAGCGGCTCACGTCCAACTAAAAAGCTCTTACACAACAGCGGGACACTTTTACTCCTTTACCTTAAGCCTCTTGCTCGCAATGGCTTCTTCTGTCTGGGTGACAGTGAGTTGGTCTTGGAGTTTGACATTGGGGAACCAGCTCTTCAGCATTTCCTCCATTTTAAGTATGATATCGATGTATTTGCCCCTGAAGAAAGGAAAGAAATAAGCAAAAAGAGAATAAGTTTACTTATGCCATCGTGCAGAAATCTGACTAATCTACACGCAATCTTGCCAACCTCTTCGAGGAAATGTTATCTCCATCAAGAACACACAGGAAATATGCAGTCTCAAACAAAGCCTGAACACACTCACTCTGCAAGCCTGCACGCTGCGTGTGTGTGCGTGTGTGTGTGGGGGGGGGTGGGTGGAATTGTCTTGAGTACATTTCTCACATGTTTGGAGCTCACACGTGGCCTGACGTGTAACAGCTCCGCTCACGTCTAAATATAAACAGCAAAGCCACAAAGGTGCCCAACAGCGTCACGGTGGAAATAGACGTGATGATGAAGGGGGAGGAGGAGGAGGAGGGCGCGTTCTGAGCCCCGTCCGTGTACCCGACAAAACCAGATGGTGTGCAGGGATTAGCCCCACATGATCGAGACCTTCTTGCTTTATTCCACTCAAAGCATGTAAAATTCATGTGAAAGATTATCCGCAACCGTGCCTGCTAAAAAAGTCACTTTGATCCTATCTGCCATTGTGTTGCCAGCTGGCAACCCAGAGCAGGCACGGGGGAGCGGCCGAGGGAGGGGTTTAGTCCACTTTCCAGCCCCAGCCCCGGCAGTCTGCGGGAGGCTGCCACACCCACTCTTTGTCTCCCATTTGGAGGCAGCAGCTGGTGGGAGAAGGCTCCAATTAGTCTGTGCCAGACTCAGCAGTTTACCTTGATGCAAAGCCCCACGGTGTGGCCGAGGAGACACTACTCCCCATGCACAAATTAGGCGTGTTGCTTCAGTTTCTGTACGGACGCACTTCCCATTCATACAATCTCAGAAAAAACTTTGTGCTTTAACAGGATAGACCGTTTTAGTAAAAAAAAGATCCTTTCATCTTCATAGATTTTGGTAGATCTTTTTTTTCTCCATATTGGAGAAAAGAATTTAAAAAATGTGAATGCATAAAATCCAATAATAAAGCATCTATGAGTAGCAGCTATTCTCTGTTTCATAATGAATAAACACATTTTAAGATTATCGCATTACACGGACTTAGAATCTCCTTTAGAGGGATGATATCATACCCCATTACGCTGTCTGGGTGGTGGAGAACTAATCAAGCACACACAAGTGTGCATCTCCCACAGTGGAGCCTGATACATTTTTAACGAAATGCTCAGCCAAAGTGCCACCCAGCCATCTCTGCAGCGAATGTATCCTGAATGTGTGGGGGAAGCAGCAACCTGCTGTGAGCCATGTGTTAGACACATAATGGAGACCACTTAGACGAGAAACAAGATTTCTCTGCTAGAGGACGTGTTTCACTTTAGATTCTTATCCAGGGTTCACACCTCATTTGAACAAAATAGGTTTTTCAAGGCTGGATGAAGCACATCTACAAAAAAAGAAATGTAAAAAATACATGTATATGGTGTGAAATGCTGAATGCTGTTAACCGCTGAGCTGTATGTGGGTCAAACTTACCCCATGAAGGGGTTCTGCAGGACACCCATGATCCTCTGAATCCTGTCCATGGCCACGCTCTCCTGGAAACTGCTGAGTTCTGGAAAAGAAGAAGGCTGCCGCATTAGCCGGGTGCAGCGTGTGGACAGCAGGGGCAGAGTCTGCGCAGCAGATGGGTCGTGTGTGAAATGTTTGTGTGACGGAACAGACTCCCCGCCTCTGCGGCCAGGAAGCATCGGGTCACTCGAGGTGTGGGTTCAAGCGAGTCCCCAAACCGAGCAGTTTCCGAGCCTGTCTGGACGTGGCGGTGTCCTCCGCCGTAATGCCCAGCTGACAGCACACAAACAGCAGCTGCCGGACTGCACAGTGTGGGACGGTACGTTCCCCCTTAACTCTGCCAAGTTTACAAGCAAGTCTCCACTGTGACATGTCTTGCTCTTACTATGTATATTGCATGGGAGCAGAGTGAACCCAGCCCAGAATGAACGGGATTAGAAGAGACAAGCCGCTCACACACATCGAATACCTGTGGTTACTTGGTCAGCTTACAACTATGCTCGTTTCAGAGATCGCCCCCTTAAAATCTCAGAGACATGTACAGCACAGAGACTGTCACACTGTCTAGTTACTGCATGTTTTTTGTCTCAGACATTGAAGAGATGTAGCCATCTGGGCAAGACCAATACAGCCAGCTTCTCGCAGCCTCATTTCTAAAATGTGCCCGAACACAAACTGATCTGGAATTTACTTTTACAGCTGAAAGATGTCTCAGGCGCCCAAGGAAAATCAGGATGTGTAAACCCCCACAGATGATGATGCATGCTTGTTTACAGCAATTCAGCTACGAGCTAAGAGGACACAAAAACAAGAGAACATATGAAGTGGCTGACTTACTTTCTTTGTATCTTCCTGAGCGAAGGCCGTTCAAGATTGATGACAGTGGATGAATGTAGCATTGTAGCTCCATGCACTGGAAATGAGATCCATTTATAGCCAGATGTTAAAAACAAGTTCAAAAACCTTACAGTGCTTATATCAAACCGAACAAGACTGCTGCTCCTTTTTATTACTGATCAACATGATTCAGATATTTGAGTGGTTGGGTTTGACCTGTGACAAAAATGACTCGATTTCCTCAGAAAAACAGAACGGACACTCCTTCAATAGATAAAGGGGAAGGTTGTCTTTACTGGAAATTTCAGTAAAAACAGTGGGGGGGTTGATTTGGGTAATAGGGCACGTCTGGGTTTTGCTGACACCGGCCGTCAGCGGCCTCCTGTGGGGAAAACAAACGGGTCGCCGAGGGCGCTCACCTTCCTGCTGAAAAGCAGGTCTCTGTCAGCGGCGTCGGAGGCCAGCTGCCGCTCTCTGCCCGGCCCGTCCGCAGAGCTGTGGGCTCTCTTCAGTGGTTGCTGAGTGGTTCTGCAGTTCAGTTTCTCTCCCGGCTGCGTTCTGCACAGTCCGGCGGCGCCGCCTCTGTCCCGCTTCTCCGGGCAGCCGGGGGATCCCCGGCTGGAGACCTCCCTGACCTGGCCCTCCCCCGGCCGGAGGCGGCGGCCGCTGCCGGACGGGCCCAGGTGCGGGGGGAAGGAGGAGGCCTCCCTCTGGCCGTGCTTGGTGTCGTGGTCGGACTCCCGTTCGCTCTCATTTTCCTCGGTGTCGCTAGCGAGCCAGTCAATGGAGTTGTCCGAATCTGTAGCAGACATCCTCAGCTGCAGACTTTAACTCGCACTGATCATCACTGACCTGACGGAGAGAAAGATACTTCAGCGCAACGAAAATAAACACAGTAAAAGAGGACATAGATCACTGCCATGAAGACCCTGAATGACGGCGACCGAAAGTATGACTTCACAGACACCTCGAACCAAAATAACCTCTGGACTTCCCTTAAACAGACACTGCAGGTTTTTCTTAATAGCAATAGTTGCTTCTCCAATCAAGCAGAGAGACGGCAGAGCCCCCCGAGCAGACGCTGGCTGGCAGACAGACCGCGGTTGTTCAGGCCACAATGACCTGTTTGTTTTGCAGATGCAGCACCTGAGCACAGGGTGAGCACCATCAAAGCCTCATGCCCCACCGTACCACACGGGCCCACGTTTTTATCCATTCACATCCTCATCAGTTCAACAAACTCAACGCATTTTTACAGCTAGCAAACTGCAGCCTGTGCCGTTTCCCTAACCCAGACTACATCAACCGGCCACCGCTCACATTTATTCCTCTTAAGATGTTTATTCTAAAGGGAGCAGGGGTACAGCAGCCCCTCAGAGAGCTGCAGATCTCCCATCAACGGACAAAAGAGCAGAAGATTAGCTCACTAAGACCATTTATGATGGGGGAAAGGCTGGTGACTGAGGAATAAAATGTCTTCACGGATGCTTAATGGCTTGTGGGAGCTTCAACATGTTTCCTCTGCGATTAGCGCATAAAGGAAGTGAGAGCAGCAGTTTTCAGCTTAGGGATTCATTTTGGTCTTTGAATGGTTAACATCTGGCATGTCTTTGGCTTCCTGTGAAATTTGAGGGTAGAAGAGGTGACTGCTTCATGATTCTTTGTCGGCCAGTCTGTGATCTTATTGTTAAAGTGGAGGGTGGAGCAGAGATCTCTACTCTAACAGAACCTCACACAATCCCAGAGGGCAGTTCATTTGAAATCTCAACATAGTTTGAGCATCACTCTTCACACAGCTACAGAAGGAACTGAGCTGGCATCACATTAAGAATGTCACAAAGAACCTTTTATCTGAATTCGAGATGACGTCTTGTTTGTATGGTGGCTCTATTATCAAACCCTCTGTTATATAACACAGCTTTACATACAATAAATGCATGTGGGTACTTTCCACTGTAAGCCACGAGTGTTATGTTATGTCGTCTACAAGAAAAAGCTTTTAAAAAACACAGAAGCAGTCAGTCATCGTTTCCCTTTATATAAACTAAACAATTTCACCATCCAGCCAGTGCCTCGGCTTATTTGACCACCAATTTGATTTACTCCTGTGGTAAAACAGGCTTGTCCAGAGACCCTCTGCCCCTGGGCCTTCTGATATTTACAACCCCTCATAGTCCCACACTCGTCTTGGTCATATAAACATCCAAATCCCTGCCGTTTTGTTTTATACAATAAAAAAGTGTTATAGATCACGAGTAAATTATAAGATAGCTCTCATCTACACTTCTTCATCTCTGTCTGTAGGTGTGGCCCCTAAATACAGATGGGGCTCATCATTTAACACCACAAAGCTTTGAATAATAAAGAATATTTCTGTCATCTGAAGCCCAACCGTCCTGATCTCCACGGGAGGGGAGACAGATAGAGAAGATGATCAGATCTCCGCGACCAGCCCTGATCAGTTGGGCACGAGACACAATAGACTTCCTCATCGGTCATACCATAGTAAATTTGGCAGCATGTACAGTTAGATTATATAAACTGAAATGCGGACTGAACAGATACTCTGGGTTTGACTCAGGCTGAGCCCCAAATAATGCCAACAACACTTCGTACGTTCCAATATCCATGTCGGGGCACTATTACGCTTTTGGATAGAAATTTACTGGGGGAAAAAAACCCTAAAAGTGTTCACATCTGTACACTGACACAGAGGTTGAAGACCCGAACGGTGGCGTTAATGGCCGGAGAGCCGGTGGTGGTGGTGGTGGTGGTGGGGGGTGCCTACCTTCCCGGGGTGCGGCGGCTGGTGGAGCTGTCCCTTTGTTCGGTACGTACGGTAATTCCGGCTGGAGAGTCTCCGGGAGAGCAGCTGAATGTGCCAGACGTGCGGCGTGTGAGCGCTGAGGCGAGCGGCCACGGCCAGTGAGCGCGGCCCGTGTTGCTTCTCCCAAGGCAACGTGTCCGGGAGGGCGGGAGCAGCCGCCAGCCGCTCTCCCATTGGCCGCCCGCCCCAGCTCCACGCCGACCAATCAGCGCCTCCGCCCGGCGCAGCCGCGCCGCGATAGGCCGCGGAGGGGCTTACATATGCAAACGACATGGAAATGACACGAGCACGTGGACACGCGGATCGGTTTCACTCCGGCAGCTGGGCGAAAAAAAAATCTCAGGCCCGGCCCAGGCCAGGCCAGGCCAGGCCAGGCCACTGGTCAGTCTGCAGGCATTCTTCCTCTTTATCGTCCGAGTGATGATGCCACAGCAGAGGCATGTCGGTAGAGTCAGCAGGCCAGGTCAGCAGTTTGGGGAACCACTGAGAGGGTTTGCTCAAGGACACTTCAGCAGACCAAACTCAAACAGGGGCCTGTCCTGCCATCTACATTTAACCATGGCTGTAGAATATGCCACTCAACAGTAAAGGAAACCACGACAAGGAACAAAAATATATCGTTTCATAAAGCAAATGTAGGTTTCGCTTTCGAGCGAGTGAAGGACCTTAAGTGAACCTGAGAGGGAACAGAAAATGGAGGTTACTTGAGGAAGCAGTTCAAGTTTCCAGGATGAATAATGGCCTGTCAGAGTCTAACGCCAGCTTCTCTCCAGATTTGGGGGCTTATCTGTACTGTTAAAAAGCAAAGTTATGCCTTTTCCCAGTTGTTGAACAAAAATACATGCCATTTTAATAATTATACATTTAACTGAATCTAGACAATAACTAGTTGGGGTAAAATACCGGTTACGTTTTCATCAAAGTGTCTTGGAATGCGTTGGTCCAGCCAAACATGTGCAGGTAACTCAGAATTGTATATTACCTAAGTCAGCGTTGTGTTACTTAACAGCTTAGATACAGCGGTTGCACTGCCGCACATAATGAGGTATGGAAATTGATGATGATCATACTGAGTAAATTTTCTTATCAACCTTATTGGAAAAACAGGGTACAAAAACAGATAAGAGTGTAACCTCAGTGTGGACTTATTCCTCTCACCTCAACAACCTGTCACATTCCTGAACTTGCATCACACTCTTAAATCGAAAATGGTTTCAACTTTCACTGAGAGTTTTTGCTCCCAAAATAAAACTGTTGAAACAGTTGACTTTGCTGTGTAAGTGTTTCTAATAATGATTAACTTAAAACTCTGAAAACATGAAACCAGGCTTTAGCACTACACACTATTTCGGCCACATTGTGTGTCTTGTTTGTGAGGCATTTGAAGCTCTCTGCGTCATTACTTGTCATTAAATGACATGTGAACCAGTTGGGATTAGGGTACAAGATCAGGGCTGGGTGTGTTTCTTTCTCAGTGTGAACCATGAACAACAAATACCCTGTAATCAGATACAACTTCTCTCTGAATGCTTTTGGAATGTTTTTATTAAGACAATACCTACTGGCATCCCTAAAGGTCATCATAGCATGAAAATATCTCTGTTCCATTCTTGGTACACCTTATGTTTCATCAGTGAAGATAAACTAATAAACTGGGATTCATTATCATCAAAGTAATTCTGATATTGCTCTTCTTTGAAAGCTTAAAACATCAAACTCTAGTCAAATGAGAATGTGTGTTATCAAGGTTGCAACTGATATTCAAAGTGTGGTGCACATGCATTTTTAGGATTGTTTCTAGACATGGTGATGGTATTTATGACTCATAGGATCCTTGTTTGCCCGAGAGGGTAGGATTAGGAAGAACACTCTGTTGGAAGCCAGACGAGAATCTTGAGCTGGAGCCAATGAGTCACAAACCCTCTCACACCAAACGAGATCACGTGCCATTCAGAGACTCTCACTCCAAAGGCACAACCAGCCTCTTCTGCTCGTCTCTCTCAGCTGCCAATGAGGACGAACTGGATTTAAAACGACACACGTCTTTTCCCCTTCTATCTCCAGCGGTAACAGGCCACACATGCAAAAAGGAGCAGAGGACACCGCTACCCAGGCGGTTTGGAACAACCAGCTGCACATCTGTCTGTCCTAAAATGCAGAAAATGACTTCTTGGTTTGTCTTCTGTACTCTCCATAATGAGATTGTACCATGGTAATTAGATTCAAAGAGCAATTTGTGGCCAAGTGATCATAGGGGAGCATATGCGAATACTTTTGTTTTATCTACTGCTGTCAAAATAAGGAACAAGCAGGACAAGGGCACCAGCTGCCATGAATCCAAACAGAGGGTTTACTCTGCACTGCTGTGCCTTTAATCACATCCTGCTGTGAAAAATACGCTCCACACACACCAGAGCACCCATAAAGCTGGTCGAGATGACACAGCTGCTGGCACGGTGAGGCCCTCATGTTGAACTCTAATTGTCTCGCGAGCCACAGCAATCTTTTAAACATCCCATAAACAGTCTCCCAACGCTCTGCTCCCCAGGCTCAGATCCTCCATTGACCCTAGACTTTGTGACGACAGAGGACTTCCTACAGCTTCCCGGCAAGTCCTCATTTCCCCTTTTCTCCGAGCTTTATGTGTCACTGTGAAATACATCACTTGCACTTCAAAGCTCAGGAAACTACATTTGCTTTAGGATCAACAGGGTATTTTGGTTATACACACAAAGCATTAGACGCAGAGAAATGATTGTGTTTACTTAAGTAACAGCCACTCAGTCTTCTTTTGCTGGATGTGTTTTTCTGCATTAACCGCATATTGTCCTGCATATGCCAGTAAATCTTCTGGGTGATCTCCAGGAATGTTTACGTATTAACAATAATCCAGCTCCATTTAGCTGTTAAGCCGTTTTTCATTTTGTCATTTGCATACAAGAACAACAGAAACAATTTGCGGCGTCCTCACAAAGGCAGGCGCTTTATCTGTGTGTTCTCCTGTCAGGATTCGAGATGAGTCACACGACTCAAGCTGGCACTGCGATTTTCAATTTGTCAGAGAGGCTGGCTGAGTCTGTATCCCACGGAGACGGAATGTCTCCTGCTCTCATTCATAAAAAAAAAAAAGAAAAGCTCAATCGGAGACTCACACCCACTTTATTACAGGGCCTACTCTGAACATCTGTCCTTGTCCAACCCCTCCTCTTGGAAAATGCAGCACGTGGATGCAGACAAACACCAGGGCTTCAGGACTTCACCCTATAGGCTGATTTGAGCTTGCAATTCATGTGGCTTTTTCAGATTTTGGGCATGCAAGTTATGCAGCACGGCAAAGTCTGTCTCTTATTTTCTACTTTCATATGGAATACTGTCCCTTTCCTTTAAAAAAAGGCTTCCACATGCATGTGCAGCACTTGTGATGGCCTCCGCCGACCAATGCTTCTTGTTAAGCCGTGCGGTGCGAGTGTCCTTACCCCCGCCAGTGCGCTGTAAGCAGACACATGTGAATATGTGAGAGTGTTTGGGTGTAACTGGAAGAGGAGCATGTTTGTTTGTGACTTCTCTTACAGGCAGCTGTCCCCAGCAATGAGCTGCACATATGACTCAGCTCAGTGTGCCCTGGCATTGGGCCATTTGCTATCCTGCTCTCTGAAATGGACATTTGGGGACGTGTGTGTTTGTACGTGTGTGTCTCTAAATTGTCTCTAAATTGGGTTACCATTAAGCAGGGTTTTTTTTACATTAGTGCTGCACACCGCTGTCATCCAGACTCATGTTTTACTTTCAGTGAGGAGAAGACCAACTGGAATTAAGCCAATTCAGTGCTGGCAGGTATGTTAATGGCAGTGTAAACACAAACATGTGAGCCAGCATGGATCAGACACTTGCAGGCAAGACACAATTGTTGCTGCAGAATATTTCATCCTTGTAGCAATTCATAGCCTTGTAATAACAGGCTTACGTAAGTTTTTTTTCTGTTACATTTCCAGAGCCTGTGACCAGCTGCCTCAAGGCACCTCCTATCATTGGGGAGGAATCAAGCTTGTTTGGCTCCACAAAAGATGAAAACTTCTAGCTGAAAAATAGCTTTGTAACCAGAGTCAAAAATGGAAAGTCTTCAGCTATGTTTTTATTGTGATCTCTCCAGATATTCCTCATTAATGTTGGAAAAGACATTAGATTAGATCTGAATATTGGCGCGTCTGGACCCTGAAACCCCTCTTAAGCCTCCACATATAACGAGCTCGCTCCTCCAGATCTGTAGTTCTGTTAAAGTAAATGCTCCTTCTTCAAGTTAACTCCGCCCACACTGCAGAAATGTGACTGAATGCGGTGTGGGCACGCTGCTGCAGCAGTGTGTGTAGGGGGGGAGAGTGCCAGTTGCATGCACAGCCAATCATATTTGGAGCTGGTTTTTTTCGAGGTTATGCTGTGAGAGGAGAGGTGATACTGGTTTTATTTTTGTGACTTTAAAGGGTTGGACTTCCGGCGCCCTGTTACACACCCGCCCCTCGCCCTTTGCGCCTTTTCCCGATGAAACTCCTCTCAGTCACATGTGCTCCATCTAGAGAGAAAGTTCCTTGACCATTTTCCACACAGACAGTTCACATGCAAGCACTTGCGAATGTCTGGCAGCAAATCAGAGTCAAATCTCTTTTGACTTTGTGTGCGCGTGTGTTTAGATGTGTGTGTGTGCGTGTGTGTTTAGATGTGTGTGTGTGTGTGTGTTTATATGATGTCTGATGTCTGAACGGCTGCCAAAGAAGCTCAAGTGACAGTGGGATATCTATCAGTGGAGCTGAATGTTACATGTGACCGGGGTATGTTTTAACTAGGTTACGTAAGTGCTGTGCTCCAGCCTGCTCTCTCCACGCACAGATGAGGAGGGCTACACATGATGCAGAGGACTGTGAGCTTAACACAAGCATTGCCTTCGCAGCACATTGAATAATTCCTAAACACAAGGCTGGAGCTTGAGCCAATATACACTTCGCAAAAACGGCTTTCTTACGGGTGCCTTATTACTTTAAAAACAACCTTTAATGATGGACTCTGAGTGAGTCAGAGTTGTTACAGCTTATCTTTGCCATCAGCAAATGTGTCCGTATGGATTCCATATGATGTAATAGCATGAGTTGGTAGCAGCAGTACAATATAATCTAAATGTGAAGGTTAGGGTTATATAAGGGAATTTATGAGAAGTGAAGGAAAGCACTGACAGCTCTACTCACACTTGTCCATAGCTGTTAATGTAGAGATTCATCTGCAGT